CCGACGGGCACGCCCCCTTATGGCAGTGCGTCTGTGCCGCCGGCCGTCGGATTGTGCGCGGTCCGGCCTTGTCGCCTTCCCTTTAAGGCTCTTGCGCCTGTCGAGTCGTGCCTTTGACATTGCTGGCGAGGTTTTTTTAATTTTTTTTTATTTCTTGCAATGAATGTTTGCTTTTGCGATGGTAGGTATTGAAGCTCTAACTGGTTGTAAAGTTAACGTACCAATTATTTTGTGCCCAACAAACACTTTTATTTAAGCACATTTATTATTTTGTTTTTGTGGAAGTATAAGTGGGTGAACGTTCACGACGTTGCTATTGAGGCTTCCATGCAACTATTTTCTATTATCTTTCATACATTTTCTTAACTGAGTTTAGACTTAGGTTTATGCGCTACAGATTTTAACGTTACTAACCAAAATTTACTTAACCAAAATGTATTTTGTCACGTTTTAAGTGCATACCCTAGACAATTGTAAAGCGTTTGGGATTTCTTACTAGGTACGTTTAAATCCCGTCTGTGAGTAGTTAGTTTGGTGATAAAATGGACTGTATTTATTAATTACCCCAAAGCACTGCTTGCATTTTTTTCTTCTTGTCAACATCTCAACAATTCACCAAATAAATTCTGGATTTTGTGGCATGTTTAATTTACATGTATCTTTACCTATACCCAATTTAGTACCGTTTTGGCGTTCAACAAATTCTACCTAAAATTTATTTTCTTGCATATATATGCGCAAATATATGCCTATATATTTGTTTCTTGATGACTGCTATAGAAGGTGACTGCTAAAGAGGTTTATTTTTCTAAATTTCGTTCAGTTGTGGTACAGTGAACACAAAAATGCTGTGTAGATCAAATAGTTAGTTTGTTATCTTATCGTTTCTTCAACTTCTCTTTCCCTGGAGTCCTAGTGCATTCAAAGCGATGTTTGCATTCAAGTAGACCAAATTGAAGTAATTGCAGAATGTTGAATTATGATTCAGTTTATTATAACGACCGCTTGAAGGTATCTTCTATACTTTATCTTCTATACCGCACTGACAAGATCAAGTCAAGTATGACATGCGAGTTTCCAACCCCTAACGTTTGACAGAGAGATGTGACGAGCAGAAAATTAAATATTTAATATTTTCTATTTCTTTGTATTCTTATGTTGACTCATAAGACATTTGTAGTCACTTACATTCTTAAACAGCCATTTCCATAAGATGAGTATTTGATGTATATTTTTCCAGACCCTGAACAAATTATTAAAAAATGTAACTAAATAAAGAAGTCGACTCTTTTCCGGGTCGTGAAATGTGGAACTCCATAGTGCTGACGTACCTCAGAAAGCTTCCAAGAAGAATATTGTGTTGACAAATTGCAACTCATGAGGGTTGAGTTGCACATGAGACGCCAGTGGGTTTTTTTCTTCTGCTTTTTTAAAACTCCGCTTTGGGAGCTCATAAGCGTTCTAACGATATACGGGGCGGTACCGTAATAACACTGCATGCGTGGTTCCCCTTTTTCGTGTGCGCTCACTGCGGACAAGACGCACCTTCATTGAGAGCTTCTTCGTAGGAGGGAACTGTTACCCGGGAGAATAGACCTTGCGAATCAACAATGCCGCACGTGCTGCTCCCGGTGGCGTTGGAGGAAAGCAAAAGGGACGAGGGCACAATGCCACGATCAGATTTAACGTGCCGGGCGCTAGTCATGTATTCTAGGGATAATAATTTTAGGGATGGCCGAGATCGTTAAGGCAGTAGTGCGGTGGCGATGTCGGACCGAAGGATCGCAGGTTCGTGCCCCCCCTTGGGCATGGTCGTATTTGTGGACGTCCTTTCACCCCCCTATCATCACCATAGCATGCCATCTTCACAGTTGCCATAAAGTTAAATGCAATAGTGGTTGCTAATGATCTAGATGATGATGCGATAAATAACAAACAAACCAAAATAGGGAGCTTGAAGATCATTTACGGGATCTACTTCTCACTCTCGCGTCGCCCGTCCTGTCTTCTCCTCTGCATACTAGTAGCAATCGGTTAACTTTCGCGTGTTAGAAGGGAAGGTGATCAGGCGGCGCTGCAATAGAAGTGGCAGAAGGGAGGTTACCCCTCCACTGCAGTCGATCATTTAATGGGTAAAGATTTTTTTACCAAAATCTACCATATATATATATATATATATATATATATATATATATATATATATATATCAAGTTAAGTAATAACTGAGGAGTCACAGGAAAATGGATAGTATTAATTTTTGGTATCTTTCTTCAAGTATTTACGTCTTAAATATGTCGAGGATTAAAGTTTTTATGCTAAGATTCTCTTAGTGCCAACATCTTAGTTTAACAATATTTTTTCTCCATATCTTTAAAATATTAAAAGAACGGTAAATATTTGAGATTTGAAGTTATTTAAGAGTATGATTTGAATAATTATTCTCACAGATACGCAGGCTGCATAGGTCATTGTTTATCCCCAATGATCATCTTAGACTAGATACATTTTAATATTAACGCATAGATATGACATATTTTACAGTACATTGGTATTTAGAAGTGGAGGATGTATTACTTATTCGACAGATAACTCATGGCAATTTCAGTGCTTGGAACAGGTTAATATTGTTATATCGTTCCTAAAATATATCTCTTTATTATATGTCCCCCATTTTTATTACTTTTAATAACATTGTATAGAATGCTAGGGTTGTGGATACATTACCATTGCCAACAGCTATCATTAGTGGAATCGTTGGTACTTTCACGTTTGGTACTACTTGGGGATCAAATGCTCTCTACTGCATCTGCCTTTAGTTTCATGTTTGCTGTCACAAAACAGTTTGAATCATCCATATCCATTACTAGTGTTATTTCCTAGTAGTTCAAATGTCTGGTCTGATAATAATGGGAATTATCAGACGAATTAGGTTCGCCGATAATTCGTTTATATAACACAAGCGTACTTGAGTATTTTTCCCCCTTCGATAATCAACCGGGTTGTAACCCATGGGCTTGGGTTTAGGCAGGCACTGCGCCTACTTATACCAGTTGAGTCGACTTATTTTAAATATAATTAAATGAGATAACATTAAAAATCAAACAATGCAAAATAATGGTCATGTCATCTGAGTTTGACGTTGACTTCCACTTCCAATTCATCGTTGATGGTAGAAATGGTAACAATGGGTGATAGATAAATGATTATGGAGAGAATAAAACTTCATATACAGTTCTTAATGAGCTTTAGCTCCAATAGATTGAAAAAAATACTATCAAAACATCCATGCATTACGCATTACGTATCGCAGTCTTTGGTTTTGCGAAGGATGAGCTCTGCTTTTCACTCCATGGATATTGGAAGCCCAGCGTGTTCACCGAGCCCAACAAGTTCAGCAAACTACATAATACACTCGCCAGTTCATAAAAATGCTCGAAGTTCAAGTGATTGATAAATTCTTAAATACGGAGACAAAAAGTAAAGATCGAATTGTCTCTGTAATGATATGGAGTATACAAATGAATCCCTCGTTTGTTTCCCATTTCTTCAGTTGTTAAAGCTCAGATACCTTCGGTTTCAATACTTAGCTATTTAGCTGGCTCGGCGAGACACGGACCTAGAAATCGCAGTGCTCGAAGCTCCATGTGCACTCTCATCCGCAAAGCGATCACATCCGGTAACAGAGATTTTACTTTCGTTTCAAGAAAATTTTAGGACACTTGCTGCTTAAAACTCCCGCTAGACCTCCCCCGGACGCGCCTGAGTAATTTGGTCACCGTGCGCCGAGAAGCCCTAGTAAAGAACTTTCTTTTTTCACCCAACGCACCGGCCTCGCCTAATTCACGTTCCAGGGCGGAAGGGCGGCGGGAAGGGCGGGTGGGGGAGGGGGGCGTTATCACGGGCGCGGGGCTTAGAGGCTTTCTCGAACGCGTCCGTTACGAAGATGACCGTCCGCCTCCTCGTCAGCGGAGGACTCCTTATTACCTGTTCCCTCCCGGTCAGCGGGAACCCGCCTGACGGGAGGCCCAAGGACGAGGTAGGTCGCCGCCAGTCGCCGCGCGCTGTGCGTGGCAGGTGGGTCAAGTGTTCGGCTACCTCCAAGGGTACTTGGGTCAGGCACCCACCACTCGATGGAGGTAATTAGAGTTACATACATTTATTAGAACTGCAATTGGGTATGACCCGGTGGCAGTTAATGGCAATAATTGCAAAATCAAGCTTTTATCTCTCTTTTCGTCTTACATTCTTCTCACTATTTTCGTTTAATTTTAAACTTAATTTTATCATGATAACTATAGAAAAAAGTATATGAAAAAAAATAAAAATGCGATTAAAAATCTAAATAGTTTCTTAATTTCATCAAAAGAGTTTTACATTGTATTCGCAACTCTAACGTATATATTCTCTGGTAACCACGAGTTACCCAAAATAATGTTGTTGATTAATTTACTGAAATAAGTAAAGAATAATATTAAATGGAACATTAATAAATGCACGTAAAATTAGGTTATATATTCTTTGCACTAACATTAATTTCTCCTATGTTTGATTTTTGCAATTCAGTAAACGTGATTTAGAAGCAATTAATGGATGACAGCTTAAGCATTAGTAAGTCAAATTCCCAATGTTGACAACGCCATGTTTTACTCTTCATATAGTATCAACCACTCACCATATGATCACTAGTTATACAAATATATATTGTAATAACAGGAATTTAAAATATAGATTTAACGATGATACAATAATGGATATATGAATATTTTGAAACGAACTTCAATTACTGAGAGTACTGTAAGGAAATAATAAATATGAAATAAAGAAAAACACACAAATTTAGGAATTGAACCTAACAAAACTGTATGTTATCGTCGGTTAAATCCGTGTATCTAGAACGGACATTTCATATCTACGCCGGTAGTATTATCATTGCTTTAAATGAATGCATATTGTGAGGATCCGGGAGCTAAACCAAAGGTCGCGTTCTTTTATTATTCTAACGCGGAAGTTCTGTGCTCGTACGTTTTTCGGAGCAATTTCTGGCCAGAGCAGCTGTCGCCCTCTGGGCGGGTTCTCACGGGCGGCACTGACCCGCTCCTGCTTGCCGCTCGCTGTCACGACGCTCCGCCCCACCCACTCCGCCTGCTCCGCTACGCTCCGCCACGCCCGTCCCGCCAGCTCCCCACGCTTCTCCTCGCCCCTCTCTTCTCTGCCACGCCCGCACTACTCGCGACATCGTCTCTTCGACTCTGTCCCGCTATTACACCACACATCTTCTAACAGCTCCATTCTGCTCCATACCTCTCCCCCCTTCCCCTCGGCTTCACTTCACTCTACACTCACCTAGGCCGACCCCTTCACTCAAGATCCCCTCGCCCCACCCACCCCCTTCCTGGCTCAGACCAGCCCACCTCCCGCACTCCACCTCATGGCCCTACTCCACACGCTCTCACCTCAACCCGCCCCCTCACCAGCGCCACACCGATCCGCCCTCTCAGTCGCGTCTCGCACCGTACGCTGCCCCATGCCCTCTCTTCACAGCTCCTCCCTGCCCTCCCCAAGCTTCCCCCGCCCTCCCCGCGGCGCCAACCTACGCCCTCCCTCCTTCCGCCGGCTCCACGCGGCCGCCGATAAGAATGCCTGAAATGACGCATAATTGACTCGCGCGGTCGCCTTCATGGAAGACGCCGCTCCAGCCCCCCCC